CTGTACACAGCATCATTTAGAAATATTTGTACATGCACAGACCCTCCATCTCTTCAAAATAAGCATGTATGTCTTTTGCTAATATATTTTGATGAGGCATATGTTCCATACAATCTACAAATATTTCTATATTTTTCAGTAAAATAAATGGCTATCAAATAATTTCATTAAACATCAGCCTTTTAACTAATTGAATCTAAATTTGTGTATTACCCAACATAATGCCTCAACATAAGTCCTTTTTGAGATATTGAAGAAAGTGTGCCAAATGCAGTATTTAATAAACAAAGATGCTGTAAACTTGCAGCAGCATCAACTAAAAGTAGTTCTTGATCATTAACTAATGTTTCAGTTAAATTTGCATAAACCTAGTGCTCTGACAATGATAAAAGAAAGCAGTATTCAGTTGTTTCCTCCATATGAGGTATCAAAGCATACTAATGAAGTTATACTTTACCTTGGTTTTATGTTTTATTGTAAATAGAATATTGGGTAAGAGGGAATCTGGTCCTAAGGAACAATAGAATGTGACAACTCCCGCCACAAATGACCAGAAGGTCATGAGAATGTGAAGATACCTCAAAAATAAAGAGAAAAATTACAATCTACAAAGCAGCACAAAAATGTATATCTGGTTATGTTTCTACTACGAACTTTGGAAAACCATATTCAACACTACATATACTATAACAGAAATTTACACAGCTATCAAGACATTCATATCAGATGCTGTTGGACTAAGATTTCCATCAACTCCAACCAACTTGACCAACGTGCTACAACTCTCATCATTTCTGACCAACATCTGGAGACTACAAATTCTCCATACTTGTGCTAAATGGTGAAGAAAGTGTTTGCTTATTTCAGTGCCTAACCTACAAGTGCTAAGACTTAGGAGCCTGAATGGGAATAAGCATAATGCAGTAAGTGACTGTGCAGTATCTAAAGTCATAAATGTTAAAAGAGATACGGGTACTCCTCCAAAATATCAGAGTCACTGCTGCAAAGAGACCATCATTAACAGTTGGGATAGCTTAGTCAGTAGAGATTGAGACTCGGAATTTGTGGGTTTAAGCCCTATGTTGGGCAAAACATTTCTGAATCGCAGAGGGTCAGACTATATGAGCCTCGTGATCCCTTCCAACTCTACAGCTCTATGATTCGAATTATTCTAGGCACTGTGAGACTCAGCCCCCAACTGGTGCAAATTCACACACAATGTCCTTTGCTCACAAGCAGCATTTTGATGGTGTTGCAGGAGGGTGACAGATACTCACACTGGGCCTCTCCTTGACAGGGAGAAAGGAGAGGCTGCAGCAAAGAAAAGTGCTATTGTGAAAACAGGTGGGGGGTAGTGGTTCGTAGAAACGATCCCCACACGTGCAATTTCACTTAAACGAGGGGGACGAACGGAGGTCAACGTAACGTAAAGACAGCCCTCCTTCCTGTTTATTGAGTTTTGTGCCCTGCCTTTACTCTTAAAACACAAAACCCGAGCAGTTTACTAAAAAGGGTTTATCACGCCCCTTCCACAGCCGTCCTTCCGGCTACACCTACAAAGGGATGTGTTTTATTTGACTGGTGGCAAATACATTTCGACCTGAAGCGCCTTCCGCGAGCAGGAGAGCGGGCTCTGCCTCGCGCGTGCGCTTCCGTGACGGGGAGCACCACCAGCGCGGAACCCGCTTCGCCTCCCCTCCCCCATCCCCGTTACCGGCTGAGCAGGAGCGTCGCCGCACTGAGCCCCAGGAGGAGGCAGCAGAAGAGCGGGTACTGGCGGCACGTCTCGCGCAGCGCCTCCACGCCGCGCACGCGCCGGCACAGCTTCTCCCCGGCCGCGCGCACCCGCCTCATGGTGGAGGGGGCCGTGGCGGAGCACGGGACCCCGGCTGCACCTGCGGCCCCCGCGGTCAGGAAGAAAACACCCGGGACTCGGCGCTCCCGACTTCCGGTTTCTCTCACGTGACCTATTGCCTCAAGCCGCTTTCTCTCACGTGACTTCCCACCAACCCACCCCCTCAAAAGAGGCGGGCCAAGGTTGACACGTGTCTCAGGCAGGAAGTTGGCGCCGAGAGGCTCCCCGAAGCGCTTTTTTCATTTTGGTTCCCCTCGGTCTCTTGGGGAAGAGCTCCCCTGAAAAGCGCAGCAACCCTCTGCCCGCCTCGACACCCTATTCCGTGGGTAAGGGAAAAGGGCGGGGGCGGGGGAGAAGCGGAACCGCTGAAGCACTTCCGCCCATTCTTGCAAGACTTCCAATTTGTAGAAGGAAGTAAAAGCGCTCAAAATGGCGGCCCGACGAAAACCGGGGCGGGGGAAGTAAGGAAACATTCGCCAACTCTAATAGGATAGGTCTTGTACGCTACTAAATAGCCGGCGCAGCTTCCGAGCAAGCAGTAGTCTTTACGACACGTACGTCCCTCAGGACCTGCTCACCCTTCGCCACAAAGGAAAAGCCAGTTCGCATCGTTTCTGCACCCTTTGAGCACAAATAATAAACCAACCAAGGATGCTGTGGTACCTTCAGGTACGGAGGTACCAACATCTACATAACGTCAAAGGTTGTTGTGACCTAGTTGCATGTTTCTGTCCGACAAATAAGCCTCCCCGACTAACCTAAGCAGGATAAGGATTCACATGTACTCCAGCTCCTTGTAGAAATGGTGGGATAAATAACCCTCTAATAATGGCACCAACTAGAGCAATTTACTCCAACCAGGCGCCGCGCTCACACTTCTCGGTTACAACTGCCATCACTATTAACCACGGCCACCCTTACTGCGACTGATGGGAACTGGAGTCTTACCATCTGGAGCAAATCAGGTTTGGGACTACTCCCCCTCCCCGGCAATTGGCATGATACGGCCGCCTTTCCCTGGCCCACCCCTTTTTGCTAAGAGTAGCCTTGTCCATGTTGCTTGAAATGAGTTGGACAGGGTCGACTGGCATAAGTTAAAACAGCCATCCACATCGTCGGAACAGGAAGGACATGTCCACAAAACTTTTACAGAAGTCCCCCCCCCCCCGACTATGTTGTATGACCGAAAAAGGCACAGCACTACGAATGCTAGATGGCATAGAATTAATGGGGATTTTAAGTAGTTTCTTCTTCATTGGCAATTTCCCCCAGAGGTGGGAGGGAAGGGGCAAGATTTTTCTCATTTCCAATGATCACACAAGTCCTGTTCTATAACTGACTACAGATTAGTTGATATCTATGAATGAATCAAAAGCAATCCCTTCTGAAATCAGAGGTATATATAAAATGCAACCGTATGCACTAATGCTTAGCAGCATATCCAAATTACCACTCTGCTTACACCATTTGAGCAGTAGGCCTAGCATAAATATTTGCTATTCAGTGAAGACAAACTCCAACAGCTGGAATACTTTTTACTTGTCGTTCCTGCTAGACAGCAATAAATTAGTCTATCTACCATTACAAGCCCATTCTGAAGATCTGATATTAAAGATTAGGCAAACATCCATCTTCTACTTATCAGATGTAAAAAAGCACCGTCAAATGTACAGGAGCTAAGCTCACCTTGCCTATTTGTCTCCTTCATTCCCATAGTATCTCATGGAGATGTTTTCATTTAAGCACTTTACCCAGGATCAGTGTTAAATTCTTGAACAAATTAATCTACATTTGACTTTAAATATGACAAACATGGTTTCTGTGCACATAAAAAATTCTCATATATAATCCCAACGTCAGCAATGCTGGTGTTGAGTTTGTGATATGGCAGTTATAGCTGCAGTTCTCCAGACTATGCTGTTACAGAAATTTAGAACCCTTGCATTGACCCTTGACTGTGAGAATCTGAGACTCCATTTGAATTTAAAATAACCATTTAAACAAAATGAAATTATAAAAAACTAGCATTTCAAGAATAGTAATGGTGTAGATGTGGAAAATGTTCTACAACAGAGGTTCTCAAATGTTATACTCCCAGGCCCCACTTGCAATGACTAATTGCTAAGGCCCAGCAATCACAGAATAGTGGTGAGCAGAGCTAATCACAAAACATTGGCAGCATTTGACATAATCAGATGGCAATCAGACTTAATTTTCCAAAGTTATCAAATCCATCTTTGTAAATATCTAAACTCTTTGCCACGGAATTTTCCTTGTGGCAACAAGCTCCACAGCTCATTTTCCGCAAGTTAAGTACCGACTTAACTACAGGCTATTGTGACAGCCTCCCCTCAGTTTGCTGATCCCGAGGCTCTGGAGGTCTTTTCATATTTCTCCCTTCTCACCCACACATGTTATTTTTACTCACCTATAACTTTTTCCTTTCACTCAACTCATATCACCACACAAATTGCAAGTTTTATTCATCACTCCTTTTACATTTGTTTCTTCCTGTTATAATAGCTTCTTATCCACTTCTTTCTTTCCCAGTTTATTTAATATGGAAAATAACAAACATTAATATTTTTATTAACATGTTTGGAGACACCAGACTTCTCTGTCTCCCAACCAATTATACGTCTCCAATTATCATTGAAGATAACTGAAATATAAAGAAATTGCAGACTATTCTCTTACCAGCAGATCCTAGGGCAGAGGCATACATAGGGGGGGCGGGGCGCAAATAGGCACCACACCACAGGGGGCAGCATTTACCGAGGGACCTGACCTGCAGTGTGCCCGAGCCACATCTCTCCTGGGAGTGACGTGGTGGCTCTAGCACCTGCAGGCTCCACGCTGCCCAAAAAGGCAGCATGGGGCTTGCGTCTGCCCACAGCTTCCCCCTCAGCAGCCCTACAGCTGAGGGGGAGGCAGCAGCAGACTAGAGTGGTTCTATTGTTATTTGAAGAATGTAGTACCAGGATGCAATTTAGGGTTGGTAACCTGCCCCATTAGTAATTGGGGAAAAGTAATTCCTCCCCCCTTTAGATTGCTGTTCAAAACAGCATACTACTGCTTTGTCTAAGATTACTTTCTTGAGGAATTTATAAAGTTGATTCTTTTGCACGTTTTTTATTTTCTTTATGTATATTGTTCTGATTGAGTTTTGTATGACTCTTATAATATGTATCATGTTCTATGATTTGTGTATTTTGCATACTTTTTAAATGATCATATCCAGACTTCTGCTTCTAGAACATTGTACTCTTGGCCTGAGCTTCCTCTTCCTTAAAATTCGTTTCTGGGATTGAGGGACTTCTCAAGAATAGTGCGAGGCACTGTGAAAGGATGTAAGGGGAAACTAGGAAACAGTACACACATATACTTCCATTTGCAGAAGAGGCTCAAATCCAGTGGAGGCTTCACCAAACAAAGGGAGGAATCCAATTGGTCCTCCTAGAAGTATTGCTCCAGTGGGAGGCATCCATAAATGGAGGCAATTTTTGCCAACTCCCTCTGCAGTCTGCCCACCCCCATCTGTTCTGGAGGAATAAGCAGCTTTGAATCAAGCCTCGTGTACTTGCTTACCTGTAATCCTTTGCCTGAGCCACGCATCCAGAACAGCAGAGAATCGTGCCACCATCTTCAGGCAATTCTCTTATTTAAATATTAGAATAACATGCCTCTTTATATATAATGAAGCTATTTCATTTCATTTAAGTTGAGCAATGTCCCAAAAGGAATGCTTGTTCCAACAATTCTTATTAGTTCAGTTCTTCCTTTACTACATCTCTTCAGAGAATTCCAAACATGTAATATTTTCAGAAAGCAGAACCCTCCTTTTATCCTAACGTTTTGCTGGAAGGGGGCTTTCATCCAGTGATATAATGGCTACAAAAATGAGTAGTTTTATTGGCACACTAAGTGGCAGCACAGTTGTACTCAGGTCACTGGCAAAGACCTCTGTTTTAGCAGCCACAACTTTATGTGCAAGATGAAGACTGCAGCATCCAGCCAGTCACCTTCAGCTTTTATCCTCTAATCTCAGAACAAAGCCAGTGTAGAAGACCCCTGTTGGGTCAGTTTCAGAATTGCAAAGTTAGAGAAGCTTCACATTTCTGCAAACAGCCCATGCAATCTCTTTACTCGATCAAAGGTTACTTAACATATTACGAACATATTACTATTCAATTTGTACAAGATTCACATTTTGTTTTCAAGCCAGGGTGTGTTTAGCTTGTACTGTAATATGAAATGTTTACAACTATCTCTCCAATCTACTTCATATAACATAACTGAATATGAAAAGCATATGTACAGGGAATGTAAAATATACAGAAAAGCTTTTTGAAGCTTTCCAAAGGAATTATCTTTGTTTATAGACAAAAGGGAATTTCACAATGCCTTTAAGGCACTTCTGTTCTCTTTTCAGCAACTGAACTAGTTGTCAGCTCAAGTCACTTTCTATAAAAAAAGTCTATCAAATGTACATACCCCTGCTTATTTATTTTCTCCAGTCCTCACCAGAAATATTGCTATCAGCTTTACTTACGCTGAATGGCATTCTATGCAAAGCTGGGAATAATTATGTCAACACAAGTTCATGGGAAATAGTCTGTATCTTAAAGAGAAAAATTAAGTTGTAGTAATAACTAGCATAAACTATCTTCATCAGTTCTGGAACATATGTAGACTCATTAGTATAAGCTAGCACAGAACTGAATATCGCCAGAATTTCTGCTACAACGTAACAGTAAATCTGTGTTACCATGCCAATATAATGTATGATATCCATATAAGCATCATGTCCCAATAACTTCACTAAAGCTTGATGTAGTCTGTAACATCAACACCTAAAGTGACCAGTCAAAGATAATCTAAAATCATGATTCAGCACCTTTAGTTTCTAATTGTGAAAGCTTATTCCCTTCACATATTGTTTTAAAATTTTCAATATTAACATTTCTTTTTAAAATATCGTTTTTCACAATACAAGTTTCCACATGCATTTTACTGTCGCTTTGTCATTATAATGCTAAAAAAACTGCACCAATGTCAGAACAGTGCAAATAATATTTAATTGTAAAAGTCATAATGGCTTGAATTCATCATTATTTAAGAACACTGTCAAGATTCTGGTACTTATTACTCACCATTGCTTTACAAACTATACAGACCACTTCCAGTCAATTTTAACATGCACCCCACAACCCAACAATTTTTACAGCTGAAATTGAGGACCATCTGACCTCAATTTTATCTTGCATATTGTCAAATTTCATTTTGCATTTGCATTGACTGAGTACACAATTCTGAAAAACGCGAATTTTTAAATTTCCTTTCTTCCCCGAGCCAAAATTAGTGATGCTTGAAAGCCCAAAAGAAGTTTGTTTTCCAGCAATGGGAGAAATGTGGAAGATTTAGTCAGAAGGTTTCTCCCTCTTCCTACACCTCCATTAGATATCAGATCAAATTTGGCATAAACACCTTGACAGTGTTCTTCATAAGACTATGACAGTAAAGATGCCAGTTGGCACAACAGCCTCATTGAAGGGAGCATTTAAACCTCCTTGGCACTGGGACTGCCAGCACCAAGGATTACAATATAATCAAAGTTGTATTTAAGGCTACATTTAGCAAACCTACGTTCCATAAGCCTCATCCTATCAAGTTTAAGATTTCAGAAGCTGATGCAACACTCATGTTTCTTACTCAAATATGGAAAGTAGAACTTTACCATGGGCAGTATATGAAACTGTGGCAGCAAGTGTCTCATTAAGCAGTGACTTTTTACCATCCAGCCACTTAGTTCCTTCTTATCTAGCAAGGCACATTTACATATTCCCATGAATACTTGACAAATTTTAAATTACACTTTATGTCCCAGCTATCCCAGTAATTGACATACAATATACTAAAATGATTTATTAAGGTAACAAAAATTCAATTAATGTGAGAGACAGACTACTGGAAACCACTATTCTAAAAAATGTAAATACAAGTAAACATACTGAAATGTGTGCGCACGAGTTTTTAAACCAGAATATTTCTGCACTAACACACATTTATATTAATGACACATAAAAAAAATAAAAACTTTATTACAAAAATAAGTTACACTTGCCTCCAGCTTACAGTATAAAACAATTTTATTTGCAGGAATGCAAAATGATTGTTTGCAATGAGCATTTAACATATGACATCTATTTTTGTTAATTTTTTTCATTTACTGGGGAACTGGTGTGTATAAAACCTTAATTCGGTGTCTCAGTTCTTATTGTGGTGCCTACGGGTATGTAACAACTGCAGTATCCCTTTGGGAAGGGTATAAGGGAAGCTCTTTCTGCCAAGCCCATATTAAATCATAGTTTTATTTACCTTACCTATGCATATTTAGACTTGACAGAACTTTTTGGAAGGGTGATTCAATAGAGGATGCTTCACCACTTAACACTCACTGTCATCAAGGTGCTTTAGAAAATTAAAACATAGCACAAATGATTGTATTCTACTCTACAGGTTATCATGATCTGCATAAAGAGAAAATGGAAAGCTGATCTGCTTGTTTTTACAGCAATCAGCAATAAGAAATGCACTAATGAGAAAACATACCTTTACCTAAAAAGCTAAACTACAGCCATATACTATCTTCTATGATTTATGAAAAACTTCAAAATATCCAAATGTCAGGCTTCACTGTACAGTTGTCAGTTTTAGTCTGACCTTTTATAAAGGGACACTGCAGTATTTAGTACAAGTTGCTGATGCACTTTTTTAACATTTGATGTCTTACAAAAAGTAACATCTTGCTAAACTATTATACATCCAAATAACTACAATATCTGAAGAAGCAAGGCTGCTTTTTCAGCCACAAAATACGACAAAAACAAGGCCTGTTATGATGAACAGGAGGGATTCTTTTACAAAGCCTCTGAAATTAAAGGCAACTAAGAATGTTACATTTGGTATATATTTTACCCTCGTGTCATAATTAAACAAGCCTTGATTTTATCTACAAAAAATTTCTATGTACAGTACAGATAGGGTATAGTTCAATCCTCTGCTACTGAGGTAGTTAACCAACCCTTTAAAAAAGGTTCTGAAAAGAACCACTATCTGGAATGCCTGACTAACCAGCTCTGATGATTACACCTGAAACTGCTGTATCTGAACACATTTCAAAGTGATTACTATATAGACAACCATGATTAACCCTTCATGAGCAGAAATAAAAAGTTAAGGATGCCAATTGTGATATTCACCTATCACTGCACTAGATTTCTCAGTGTGATAAGAGAATACCACTTTTGGAATCCATTTTAAAAACACCAGGGAACGGTCTACTTTAAGTAGATGTTTTTGTTTTGTTTTTTCATTTTTAAGAAGATTTCATTATTTAAGAGGCCATGCTAGAGATAAAGAATTTGTTGTACACATTGGGAAAAATATTAGCTTTAGATTTATAATTTGCACTGCAGAGAAAACTTAATAGAAATTCATATCAAAGTCCAAGTGTCCCATATTTGATTCCATGATCTTCGCACGAAGAATCTTCTACAAAATAATTTGCTCCTATACAGCCGCGATACTTAAGGTTGCTTGATTTCCTTACCATTACTCCACTGCAAGCTTCTGGTGTAATCCCACTTAGCAAGTCAGTCTTCATTGTAACAGGTCAGGACCGGCCTCGACCCCTTTTCCCTGCTAGCCAGGTAACAAAAGGAATCAGTTAGATAAATCTTAAAATCAAATCAGGAAGACTGTTTAAAAATGAGTAAAATAATTTACAATAAATAAAGCCAAGAACATTTTGTCATTTGATTAACACTAAATTTGAATCCCCCCACCCTTTTCGGGCTTTAAATTTTGTTCAAACTGATTTTATTTCTAATTCAGCACTCGTTTTGGTTTTGTGCACTCCATTCAACAACTTTACATTAGAATGTTTTCAACAATTTTATCTGTTATCAAAAGAACACTGAAAATTCTATATAGCTTAGTTCAAAATTCTCATATTCGTTGTATAAATTACAGTTATCCAATTACATGCATTCCTCATTGCTATACGGTGCATGCTCTAATTTGGGGGGAGGGGAATTGAAAATTAAATTTAAGATATAGTATAGGCAACCATTTAAGATAATT